AGACATTATTTGTCTTCTTATACCACATACCTTATTTCTAGGATGGACCCGTTGAAGTACAATTTCCATAAAGCAATGCCGACTGGGAAGTTGGCTAAATGGCAAATGCTTTTGAGTGAGTTTGACATTGTATATGTGACTCAGAAGGCGATAAAGGCGCAAGCCTTGGCTGATCATCTTGCAGAGAATCCAGTTGATGAAGAGTATGAACCGCTCAAGACTTATTTTCCCGATGAGGAAGTTTCGTTTGTTGGTGAAGATATTTCTGAGGCATACCCTGGTTGGAGAGTATTCTTTGATGCAGCGGCAAATCACCAAGGGAAAGGTATTAGAGCGGTCTTAGTGTCAGAATCTGGTCAGCATTATCCTATGGCGTCTAAACTTCGATTTAATTGCACGAATAACATGGCTGAGTATGAAGCTTGCATCCTCGATTTAAAGATGGCCATCGACGTGAATGTTCACGAGTTGCTGGTTATTGGAGATTCAGATTTGCTGATTCATCAGGTCCAAGGAGAATGGGCTGTGAAGAATCCAAAGATCACACCATACGTACAGTATATACAGAATTTGTGCAAAAGATTCCGCAAGATTGAGTTCAGACACACACCCAGGACACAGAATGAGTTGGCCGATGCTCTTGCCACCACTGCCTCAATGATCAAGCATCCAGATACGAGTTACATTGATCTAGTGGATACAGAGGTAAAAGAGCAGCTTGTTCATTGTTCACATGTTGAAGCGGAACTAGATGGTTTACCTTGATATTTTGACATCAAGAAGTACTTAGAGACCGGAATTTATCCTGAGAATGCAACGTTCAACCAGAAGAAGTCGATACGCCGTATGGCCCTCAATTTCTTCGCAAGTTGGGAAATCCTTTACATGAGGACTCCAGATTTAGGTCTTCTCAGATGTGTTGATGCTAGTGAAGCTGCAAAGCTTTTGGAACAAATACATACCAGAGTCTGTGATACTCACATGAATGGGCTCACTTTGGCGAGAAAAATCCTCCGAGGTGGCTATTTTTGGATGACTATGGAGCATGATTATTGCAAGTTTGTGCAGAAATGCCATAAATGTCAAGTGCATGGTGATTTGATTCGAGTGCCGCCTCACGAACTTAATGCTATGAGTTCACCTTGGCCTTTTGTAGCTTGGGGCATGGATGTCATTGGTCCAATAGAGCCAGCTGCCTCTAACAGACATAGATTCATGTTGGTTGCTATTGACTACTTCACTAAGTGGGTGAAGGCAGCTTCGTATAAGTCGGTGACTAAGAAAGTTGTAGCTGACTTTGTTCGTAACAATTTGATATGTAGGTTTGGAGTACCGGAATCTATCATTACTGATAATGGAGCAAATATCAACAGTCATTTGATGAGAGAGATATGTGAACAATTCAAGATTACTCACCGAAATTCTACCGCTTATGTCCCCCAAATGAATGGAGGCTGTAGAAGCCGCCAACAAGAACATAAAGAAGATTTTGAGGAAAATGATTGATAATCGCAGAGGTTGGCATGAGATGCTGCCATATGCTTTGTTGGGTTACCGAACAACTGTCAGAACATCAGTTGGAGCTACTCCATATTTGCTAGTATATGGAACAGAAGCGGTTATACCTGCAGAAGTTGAAATACCTTCATTGAGAATCATCCAAGAAGCTGAATTGAGTGATGCTGAATGGGTTCGCAAGTAGATTGATCAGTTAACATCGATTAATGAGAAGAGAATGGTTGTTGTTTGTCATGGACAACTGTATCGACAGAGAATGATTCGTGCTTTCCACAAGAAAATAAGAGCCAGGATATTTGAAATCGGTCAGTTGGTCCTTAAACGCATTTTCCCTCACCAGGATGAGTACAAAGGGAAATTTGCACCCAATTGGCAAGGACCCTACATGGTTCACAAAGTATTATCCTGGAGGTGCCTTGGTCCTGTCGGAGATGGATGGCACCGAATGGACGAAACCGATCAACTCTGATGTTGTAAAAAGATATTATCTATGAAGATTTCAGTTTGTATTTCAGTCATTTTCTTGTAATTGTTCTATTTGCTTGTAATCGCTTCGTTTAAAATTTTATCCCCTTTGTAATGAACTACGTCTGACCTGAATTCTCAAGAATGAGATACGTAGGCGGCCTATGTCGGCCTCGGTCACCCATTTATCCCTTTTAATGTTTCCTTTCTACTTGAACTACGTTCGACCTGAATTCTCAAGAATGAGATACGTAGGCGGCCTATGTCGGCCTCGGTTGATTTCTTTATAAATTCCCTATTTTATTAATCCTCGAGAGGGGGAACTACGTTTGACCTGATTCCTGCCTCAACGGGATACATATGCGCCACAACGGCTCGGTCATATCTCCGTAAGATTTCTATTTTTCCTTTAAAATAGAAATGGGACAGAATTTTTGAGAGGGTCTCAAAAATTCTCGAGAAGAGGATCTCTCCAATAAATCGAGACTGAAGTTACTTTGAAATTTGCAACTGGGACAGAATTTTTGAGAAGATCTCAAAATTCCATGATTTGCTCGCCAACCGTTGGAGATAAGCCAAGACAGTTAACTAGGACAGAAATTTTGAGGATGGCCTCAAAGTTTCCACAGGGTTTATCGGCAGTTCAGAGAAACTTTGAATACTTCCCAACAAGTAATCAAATAGATCTCGAAACATCAACTCCGAATGACGTTCATTTAAGCTTGACGTGACATGACACTTGGCAGTGACCTTTTTCAAACATTATTTTTGAAAATCTATTTTCCTTACAAAACTTATCCTTCATGTTTCAATTATGCTTGCATAAAAATGTTTTGTCTTATCTATCAAGAGGCGGGAGATCGGAGAAATCAACCGGAGATAGCAAGACAAGGAGCAGACGACCGAAGAGATCAACACAGATCAGTTCATTTTTAAACTAACAATTTTTCTGTGGATGCAGGTCTATAGGTTGCCTCAAAATCAGCATATTCTTCCATTCAATTAATATGGAGAAGTCAAAACGGCAAGGAGCTCCCCAAAATTGACAATTTTCCAGTGGATGCAGGAAATATTTTATGCTGCTTATATCAAAGATTTTGGAATATGAATAACATTATTTCATTCAATTCCCAACAAGGCGAGGTCCATAATGAATATGAAATTATGTTCAGAGATGGAATAAATGAAAACCTCGAAGAGAGAAATTTTATTTCGTTTTTCAGCGATTAAAGACACCTGGAGGACATTTATCTGCATCATATTATCAGACGTGATAGTATTCTTACCTAGAGAGTCATTTTTATTGTATTGTCAAATGAGATGATACCACTACTCCGAGGGTCATTTTATTTATATTGTTGATTGAGACGATACCTCCATCCAAAAGATACCCAGAAGATCACCTATGTTTCTCGGTAAAGCATTATCTTCGTTCGGTATCAGGGAGGCATTATCATCAAAGGAAGTCATGCATTGCAAGAGAAGGAAATCATGAATAGCAAGAGAAAGAAGTCATGCATCGCGGAGAAGTCATGCATAGCAAGAGAAAAGTCATGCATAGCAAGAGAAGGAAATCATGCATAGTAAGAGGAAGATTAATGCATCGCGAGAAAAAAATTCATGCATCGCGAGAAAAGAGATACATGCATTGCAAGAGAAAATTCATACATTGCAAAAAAAGATTCATGCATCGCGGGGAAAAAAATTTATGCATCCCGGGAAAGGAGTTATGCATCGCAAGAGAAAGAATTACCCATCACAAGAAAATCAACATCGACTACATCATTTTTCTTTGCAAAAACGACGTCAAGAGAAACATCGACAACGACATCAAGAGAACTGTCAACATATTACATCAACCTATTTTATTACTTTGACATCAAAGGAAGAGTACATTGAAGATTATATTGTAAACATGAGACACAAGCTTTATTTGTTTTACGTCAAACCTGATGGAGTTGACGTCAAACGTTCAAGAAGAGAAATTAAGTGTCAACACGGTAAAAGACACTGTCTCCATTTGAATTGCATTTTTATACTAATGAGTTTATCTCAGTCTTTGTTGAGAGCATCCAAAAGGATGAATTCTCCAAAACAAACCACAGGTGCGGACGACATCAAAAGGGATGCAGCACAACGTGGAACTTTTTCTTAGCAGCGAACTGGGACATAGTCTAAAGAGGGGTGCCAAACTCTTAGGACGTGAGCAGAGGAGCGACTTCCACCACAATCAAACCACACCCCTATCAGAATGCATGTGGATTTTCTTTAGGTTTCCTGGTTTCAATTTTGCATCCAGAATTTTTTTGTCTTTACCGGAAGTAGCTTTCCAATCCGAGTGACGATGCACCAAGAGCTTCGGAAATTATGTCTGTGTAAGTTCTTAATTATGGGTGTGAAGCAGCACAACGTGGAACTTTTTCTTAGCAGCGAACTGGGACATAGTCCAAAGAGGGGTGCCAAACTCTTAGGACGTGAGCAGAGGAGCGACTTCCACCACAATTAAACCACACCCCTATCAGAAGACATGTGGATTTTCTTTAGGTTTCCTGGTTTCAATTTCGCATCCAGAAATTTTTTGTCTTTACCGGAAGCAGCTTTCCAATCCGAGTGACGATGCACCAAGAGCTTCGGAAATTATGTCTGTGTAAGTTCTTAATTATGGGTGTGAAGCGCGCCACATTCATGGCTAAGGGGTTGCAAGCCTCCTTTTCATACTCGAGTTATTTTGTCACTCTTCCTGAACCAAAGGTTATTTGGTATAATAGGTTTCCTTTTCAACCGATCGAGTCAAACTACAAGCAGTCTGATTCCCTAAGTTGAGGGATATGTAGGCGGGATCAATAATGAAAACTCGGCTGTATTCTAAAATTCTCTCTTGAAATCTTATTCTCGAGCATTGCGGTACCTCCATAATTTGATATCGGGATGACTTTTGAAGTCTTTCAAAGTCGTGCGTCAAATCAAGCGTAGCGAACTACAAGTGACCTGAATTCTCATATAGCCTGAGATATGTAGGAAACCTACTTTCGAGGTTCGACCATAATTCCCAAAGTCCGTACCATATCCCTTTTCCAAAAAGATGAAGATGTGGTCAATCAAAATTGGATCAGTCAATTTTATTTTCCTCGAATTTCTTGCATCAATCCAAGTAAAATAAGGGACAGTTGTTGACACCCAATTTTGACCCTCTTCAATATAAATTAATTATTTCGAGCCTCTCCAATTTCTAACGATTTAAAATAATAACTTTGCAAGTTACTTTAAAGTAATTTTAGACGCTTTCATAATTTTTAAGTAATATATATTTCTACACAAATATGTATATAATTACTATATTTTACGAATATTCAAAAATCGTCTCAAAAAGAGTTTGTTTTAATTAAATATTCAATTAAATTAATTTAGTTTAAAGTATACTTATAAGTTATTTAGTTTATTAGTTTAATTATTCTTATTTTATGTTATTTAATTTTGTTGATTTGAAAAGTGCATTTTATTAATTTACGTTATTTAAGTTATGGCTATAGTTTTAAGTTAATTAGTTTATAATCGAATTAATTATTTTATTTCGTTAACATTAAGAAGCTCGTTAAATAATTTATATTAATTCGTCTTATTTAGTTACTAGCCGAATTAACTAAAATAATTCAATTTGGCTAGATTGTTAATTCATTTTAGCCGAATCACCTAATTAACTCAATTTGGCTAAGTTATCAACTTAATTGGCTAGAATTGCAATTCATTCGGTTATTTCGCTATTACAATTTTAGTCATTCTTT